TTGGGGCCCCTTAACATCGGGAGACTCCCCTAAGATGTGTATTGCAAGTGGCCAACTCACAGGGCACTGTGTTTCAACACCTACTAATATCATATAGAAACACAGATAGCCTTCATTTTTCTATTCCCTGGCTCACTAAAACTGCCGGCAGAGCACCTTAAGCTAAGGGCTGCATTCTTATCTTGCCTTTAAACACCATGTGATTCAGCATGTCTGCAGTCTCTGGGAATCTACGCTGCCACTTTCTACCTTTGCCTTGTGGGTAACCCCTACCTTCCACCTACCTCCACCCCCAGGGGAGAATGTGGGCCTTGCCAAATGGAGGCCCCCAGGAGATTTTCCAAGACTCACGAGATGTCAAGTCATCTCTAAATTTTTTCAAAAAACCAGAAAGTCATTTCAAAAAGCCTAACTTGATGGCCCCACAGAGAGGAAGATCAAACTTTCCACACAGACACAGCAAGTCTGCCACCCAGGCTTGTGTTAGAGCTGCAGTATTGGTACCCAGAGATTTCTGAAAGCTCCCTCACCCAGGGGAAAGTCCACCTGAGTGAGTAGTTTAGCTGCTGCCTGGAGCCCGATGGCACATATTCATGAAGTCAGCTTCCAGGGGATTTCCCTTTGTGATGGAATTGGCAAAGGTTTTGTCTTTCTGAAAGATTTCCCAGAGGAATTCATTTGCCTATGTGGAAACATCTCAAATTCTAATATAAAATCTCTGACCTTTTAGGGTTTTGAAATTTGGATCTCTCATTTACTGAGATATCTTTTTGAATAAAGAAAAACAAACATAATAGAAAACCTAAACAGTGAGAATGCATATTCAACAAATGATCTGAGTGCTTACCTCAGGCTAGGCACTGTTTGGTATTGAGGATACACTGGTGAACAAAACAGATGTGGCTAGTTGGGCATGGTGGCTCATGCCTGTAATCCCAGCATTTTGGGAGGCCAAGGTAGGCGGATCACTTGAGGCCAGGAGTTTGAGACCAAACTGGCCAACATGGCAAAACCCTGTCTCTACTAAAAATACAAAAATTAACCAGGTGTGGTGGTGCATGCCTGTAATTCCAGCTTCTTGGGAGGCTCAGGCATAAGAATCACTTGAACCCAGGAGGCAGAAGTTGCAATGAGCCCAGATCGCGCCACTGCACTCCAGCCTAGGCAACAAAGCGAGACTCCATCTCGAAAAATAAGCCAACAACAACAACAAAAACAGATGTGGCCACCACCCTCAAGGAGCCTGATTTTTAATCCTAGCTTTCAATTTATGTTTGTGTTGAAAATGAAGTTGATTTCTTCCAGGAAGTGTCCTTACGAGTATTAAAATATATACACCATCCAAAATCCTGTGCCCAGCTTAAATATCACAAGAGGGGATGAAGATTTGTTTGAATGTGTGAAATAATTCTCATAGACTGCAGGGTGTGTGATATGTGTGATTCTAAATATCCCATCACAGCCCAGACATGCTGGCTCACACCTGTAATCCCAGCACTTTGGGAGGCCAAGGCAGGAGGATTGCTTAAGCCAAGCTTGTCCAACCCATGACCTGCGGGCCGCATGTGGCCCAGGATGTCTTTCAGTGTGGCCCAACACAGATTTGTAAACATTCTTAAAACATGATGAGATTTTTTTGCAATTTTTTTTTAGCCCATCAGTTATCATTAGTGTTAGTGTAGTTTATGTGTGGCTCAAGACAATTATTCTTCCAGTGTGGCCCAGGGAAGCCAAAAGATTGGACACTCCTGGCTTAAGCGTAGGAGTTTGATACCAACTAGTAACTGTCACAAATGGAATTTAAATTCAGATGCAAATAAAAAAGGATGAACTCCTAACTCCCACGCCATAAGGGATTCATTCATTCAACTAATATTTATTGAGCACTTAATATATGCTAGTTATTGTTGAAGTTGCCTGAGCTGTATCAGTGAACAAAACAAAAATCCTTGCCATCGCAGAGGTTAAATTGGAGGTGGGAATGAGGGACAATAAACAGTGAATACATTTATGATTTTTTTTTTTTTTTGAGACAGGGTCTCACTCTATTGCCCAGACTGGAGTGCAGTGGCACGATCTCAGCTCACTGCAACCCCCACCTCCAGGCTCAAGCGATTCTCCTGCCTCAACCTCTCCTGAGTAGCTGGGATTACAGGTGCACACCGTTAATCCATGGCTAATTTTTGTATTTTTAGTAGAGATGGGGTTTCACCATGTTGGCGAGAGTGGTCTTTAACTCCTGACCTCAAATGATCCACCCACCTCAGCCTCCCAAAGTGCTGGGATTACAGGTGTGAGCCACCATACCCAGCCTAAATTTATGAATTATATAACAGAAAGAAAAAAGATACTCAGGAGGCTAAGGCCAAAGGATCCCTCCAGGCCTGGAGTTTGAGGCTGGCCTGGACAATACAGTGAAACCTAGTCTCTAAAAAAATTTTTTTAAACTAGCCAGGAGTGTTGGTGTGCAGCTGCAGTCCCAGCTACTTGGGAGGCTGAGGCCAGCGGATCACTTGAGCACAGGTAGGTGTTCAAGGCTGCAGAGATCATGCCACTGTACTTATCTGGGTGACAAAGCAATACCCCATTTCAAAAAAAAAAAAAAAAGTCAGAATAACAGAGCAGGAACAAATGAAGACAGAGGGGGGAAGTATAAGGGAATTAATACTACTGCAAAGTTTTGGCTCTGAAGACTTGGAAAATGTGGTACAAGGGGCGGGAATTGACTTGAGAGGGAGTAGAGGAGATAAGGAGTTCTCTTTTAAACATGTGTGATTTTGAGGTGCCATATGTCTTGATGTGAAAAATATCCCATTGGTAATTAGAGAAGATTCAGCTCCAGAGAAGGGTCCTAAATTTGGGGGACACCAGCATAGAGCTAGCTGTTGAGGCTGTGGGACTAAGTTCATCCTCCTAGCAGCCTTACCAAGAACTCTAACTATGACTATGCAGGCAAACAGTAGGAATTACAGTATACCAGGCTCTTTCAGAGTCTGAGAAGACAAAAGTCTTCAAAAGGTCAAGAGGAGTTGGTCCTGAGAGTAGGGACCTGAACCAGAAGCAAGGGAAAACTTTGATCAGTCCACTTGGGAACTAGCCAGTCCTGGAAAGTACCCTTTGTGCCAGATATGCTGTATGCATTTACCGTTTTCTTAACCATGTTTCAGTTTTGGATTTTTTAGATTAATAAAATTGAAATTAATTTTTAAAAACACTCTTGAGAAACTGGAATTCCCTTCTGAGGGTCTTAGAACATTTTTCCTTTAAAATAGAAAGTGAGTTCAGGAAATACATTAAAGAGGTAAGAATCCCTACTTCAGTATTACAGCAGGCATTACAGTGCCACAAACATTAGTGTATCTTGCCTTCTTTGTACACAAACCATCTGTATCTGGGGAGAAAAACAACTATTCTAACATTATGTTTTGCATTTTATATTCATTAAATAGGAGTGTGCCTTGGGGAAAGTCAAAAGAGGCACAAATTTGCGATTTGAAAAGCCACCTGCTGTTCTCTGGGAGCTACCTCGCCAGCTTGGAATTACTCTCATTAATCCATGCAACACTAGCTGCCATAAGCCCCATCTCTTCAGCTCTAGTTCAGTATTAATCAAGGGTGCTTAACCTCATTCCCCATTACCCGTATTTCAACCTCAGTTCCACTTTCTTTTTTCTTTCTTTCTTTCTTTTTTTTTTTTTTTTTTGAGATAGATCTTCCTCTGTCGCCCAGGCTGGAGTGCAGTGGCGTGATCATAGCTCACTGCAGCCTGGATCTCCTGGGCTCAAGCCATCCTCCCACCTTAGCCCCCCGAGTAGCTGGGACTACTGGCGTGCGCCACTACGCCCAGCTAATTTTATTTTATTTTTTAGAGACGGGGCCTCCTATGTTGACCAGGCTGGAGTTCCACTTTCAAGACTAAAAGTTGGCTGGGCACAGTGGCTCACGCCTGTAATCCCAGCACTTTGGGAGGCCGAGGCAGGTGGATCACTTGGGCTCAGCAGTTCGAGAGCTGCCTGACCAACATGGTGAAACCCTGCCTCTACTAAAAATACAAAATTAGCCGGGCGTGGTGGCGCACGCCTGTAATCCCAGCTACTCGGGAGGCTGGTACAGGAGAATCGGTTGAACCCGGGATGGGGAGGTTGCAGTGAGACAAGATCGCGCCATTGCACTCCAGCCTGGGCAACAAGGGCGAAATTCCGTCTCGAAAAAAAAAAAAAAAAAAAAAAAAGACTAAAAATTGTCGGGGCTGCTGGCCAAAGGAAGATCTTGCCTGGCTGTCAGAAAATAATGTTCTTTCCAGCGGCTACTTGAACCCGCTTCCTTCAGTGCCTAAATTTAACAGCTGTAGCTGCTGCAGCTACTGCAGCTGCAACCTGTTTCCCCCGTAATAGGAACCAAAGTGGAGGGTAAAAGAGGTTAGGGGCCGGGCGCGGTGGCTCAAGCCTGTAATCCCAGCACTTTGGGAGGCCGAGACGGGCGGATCACGAGGTCGGGAGATCGAGACCATCCTGGCTAACACGGTGAAACCCCGTCTCTACTAAAAAATACAAAAAACTAGCCGGGCGAAGTGGCGGGTGCCTGTAGTCCCAGCTACTCGGGAGGCTGAGGCAGGAGAATGGCGTGAACCCGAGAGGAGGAGCTTGCAGTGAGCTGAGATCCGGCCACTGCACTCCAGCCTGGGTGACAGAGCAAGACTCCGTCTCAAAAAAAAAAAAAAAAAAAGAGGTTAGGAAGAAGGCAAGCCAGCAGTCTGACCAGACACATGACGCATGTAAGAGACTTGTTAATTACACGGACTATTTAGGTCACATTGATAGCCAAATCACTATTCTGGGCCCCCAGGAAGGCTTTTCGTCCTTGCTATTGTCAATTCATTCTCCAGATGAAAGCCTGAAACCGCCACGACCCAAGTTTCACCTCTTCAATCCCCTCAAGAGGCCGGCTTGGCGCAGGCGCACACCTTGGAAGTCACCCCTCCCTCCATCCACCACCCCCGTTGGGGGCGGGGCTTCAGAGCTCAGAACTTGAACTGGCTCCAGAGCCATGAGTTTGGCGTGCAAGAGCGGAAGAAATGCGGCTGATACCCCGGAAGCAGTCGCTGCAACTTCCGGGACGTGCTTGTACTCCTGGTGCGGGAGCTACGGGACCCAGGGATTGTGTTTGAAGTAGTGCTTCTACCAAGATGTCCCGTGGTTCCAGCGCCGGTTTTGACCGCCACATTACTATTTTTTCACCCGAGGGTCGGCTCTACCAAGTAGGTGAGTGAACCAGGTTCGCCTGTGGTCCACCTGAATTGCCCTGTCATAGTACGGCCTGGAGCGAGCAGACGCGGCCCGAGTTTAGTCTGGGGCCGGAGCTGGGCCGGAGCTGGGAAGGGAGAACGGCTGAGGCTGGATTGAGCTCTGTGGTATTTGCACACTCGTCTGGACGCAGGGATCGGGGGCCTGAAGGCCTGGCTCTCTGCAGGGCGAGCGGCTACACTGTCTAGACCCAATGGAGAGTTAAGGAAGGTAGGGCTGTAATGCCTTACTCTGGCTTCCTGAGGCCCCTTCACTTATTGCATTCTGTGCTGGCGAGGCACAAGGCCTGTTTCTAAAGGGTAATTGATTTCTTAACGTCTCAATTAAAATGCCTCCTCTCCGTTTTCCTTTGTTTGCAGCGTGGACTTCCTGTGGTTAATTCCACACAGGCATTCGGAGCCTGCTGTGTACCAGACACTGCTAGTCCTAGGAGATACAAAGATGAAAGTTACCCATCTTCCATACTGAAGCTCACAGCTTAGAGTGTCAGATACGTTAACAAACGGATAACAAAAATTAGAAGTGCCAATTTACAAATATCTACAGAGTTCAAGACATCTTTGGGAAACTGATAGAATGAGTGACTCTCGAAATTGGCATCCCCTTTTTACCCACATCTGTTTGAATGCTCCAGTAATTTAAATGCCGATTCTGAGTTGTAGATGAGGTTCTGTGTACTAGTTTACTGAAGAACACCTGTAGTGGAAAGAAACTATCAGTTACTCGGAATAGGAATGTATTTTGTTGCGTTGAAATGGTGTCAAGGTTTAGGTTATGATTATAAGCCAGACACTTGACCTCCTGCCGTAGAGAATTGAGTGTCAGTAGAGCTTGATTTACATCTGGTCCGTGATAGTTTTATTTTTGAATGAGTTTAGTGGCTCCGTGCCTTGCACAGTAATATAATCATCTGTGCTTGGAATCATAAGGAGAGAATTGGTCTGTAAATGATGTTCTCTTCATCTGTAAATTTTAGAAATAAAGATAACTGGGAATGAAACTGCTCAGTGTATTACTGCATAGTGTATATAATGTAGCAAGAAACATCATCATGTTGGATAATTCAATAGCCCTTTTAATTTATCCCCAATTGAAAAACATGATTAAGGATAGAACAAAGAGATAACTGTATCCTCAAGGAATTTTCGTTTATTGTGTTAAATTCCTGAGTTTTAAATAATTTTCATATATCAGACTACTGCTTTCAGTGTTCTATTCGTGATTTTTAATGTGTGAACAGGAAAAGTCACTCCGAGACCTATACTTTATTTCTGTATACTGTATTGTGAAATCCAGCCATAAAGCATAATCGTTAATGCTTCCCAGATTTGGTGAGTAGAAAGGCTGAACACAGTGTCATTGTGATAGTTTTAAAAGATTTGGAAGAGAACATCTATCTGAAAACAAGTTCATTATCTAGACAGAATTTTTTTTTTTTTTTTTTTGAGACTTTGAGACGGAACTTCTTCACTCTTGTTGCCTAGGCTGGAGTGCAATGGCGCAATCTCGGCTCACTGCAACCCCTGCCGCCCGAGTTCAAGCAATTCTCCTGCCTCAACCTCTTAAGTACTGGGATTACAGGCATGAGCCACGACGCCTGGCTAATTTTGTATTTTTAGTAGAGACAAGGCTTCTCCATGTTGATCTCGAACTCCCGACCTCAGGTGATCTACCCACCTCAGCCTCCCAAAGAGCTGGGATTACAGGCATGAGCACCCGGTCTAGCACCGGCCTAAACAGAATGATTTTAATCTCTGTGAATAACATACTCCCTTTGCTATTCAGGGCATTAATTAGACATTGTTAGGAAAAAGAAAGTGAAAGACTAGTATGAGCAAGCAGTTTAGTGGTGAAGAGTTCAGGCCCTGGAGTCATGCCTGGATTCAAATCTCTGCCCTGCTCCATACTAGCTGATACGGGCACTTGCCAGGCACGTAACCTTAGCCTTAGTTTCTCTTTCCAAAGTTGTGCTCATAATCATTCTTCCTTAAATGGTGTTTTTGAGGATTAAATAAGGCAATGTATGTAGAGTGCTTAACGTGTGCCTGCTGCATAGTAAATGCTCAGTGAATGTTATTAGATGCTTGTTTGATTCTTTGGCCCACTTTGTTTTTCGGTCTATTAGATTGGTACCTCTGTATGGAATATTTCCCTTTTTATGGGTCCCTCCATGCTTAGTTCTCCAGTAAAATATATACATAATCATAATATTCTCAATACTGTCTGTTTATAAACTTTAGAATCCTCCAAAGACAAAGCATGGAAGGATTACAGAATGCAAGTTGTTAACATTGACAGTAGGAAAATAATATTTTTAAAATGGGATGATGGTGAGGGGAGATTAATGAATGGTAAGTATGCTCCTTATCTTCCATACTTGGGACTCAAAAGATAAATGTCTGAAGTTGATATATCAAAAAATAGAGGTATACATTTAAAGTTATAATGCTTGGCCAGGTGCGGTGCCTCAAGCCTATAATCCCAGCACTTTGGGAGACCGAGGTGGGCTGAGGTTAGAAGTTGAAGACCAGCCTGACCAACATGGTGAAACTCTGTCTCTACTAAAAATACAAAAAATTAGCGCCAGGCGTGGTGGCTCACGCCTGTAATCCTAACACTTTGGGAGGCAAAGGTGGGTGGATCACCTGAGGTCAGGAGTTTGAGAACAGCCTGGCCAATGTGGTGAAAACCCGTCTCTACTAAAAATACAAAAATTAGCAGGGCATGATGGCAGGTGCCTATAATCCCAGCTACTTGGGAGGCTGATGCGGGAGAATCCCTTGAACCCGGGAGGCAGAGGTTGCAGTGAGCCAACATCGTGCCGTTGCACTCCAATCTGGGTGAGAGAGTGAGACTCTGCCTCAAAAAAAAAAAAAAAAAAAAAATTAGCTGCGCGTGCTGGCATACCTGTAGTCCTAGTTCCTCAGGAAGCTGAGGCGCAAGAATCGCTTGAACCTAGGAGGCGGAGGTTACAGTGAGCCAAGACCATGACACTGCACCTCCTGGCTAGGTGACAGAGCCATACTCTGTCTAAAAAAAAAAAAGGTTATAATGCCAATCATAATTATAAACATAATTTATAATTGTTAATAACATTATTGGCAGTGTTTGCTCCCAGGGAGTGGAGAGAAAGACTTTTTCTTTTTTTCTTTTGAGATGGAGTTGCACTCTTATTGCCCAGGCTGGAGTGCAATGGCACGATCTCAGCTCACTGCATTCTCTGCCTCCTGGGTTCAAGCGATTCTCCTGCCTCAGCCTCCCAAGTAGCTGGGATTACAGACATGCGCCACCATGCCTGGCTAATTTTGCAGTTTTAGTAGAGATGGGGTTTCACCATGTTGGTCTGGCTGGTCTTGAACTCCTGACTTCAGGTGATCCGCCCACCTCGGCCTCCTGAAGTGCTGAGGTTACAGGCATGAGCCACTGCTCCCAGCCTGAAATATTTCTCTTAATGTACATATGCAAGTTGTATGTTTGTGCATGTATTCATATGTTAAAAATTGTAGAACACCTAGCTTTGTAATCTACTTTTGGGAATTGCCCAAGTTACTAGAGGGAGGAGGTGTGTTGGGGGGGAATGGGACTCAGGCCCTAGTTGGCCAAATTCAGCCTGGCTACTTTTAGGCCCTTCTCTTCTGTTTGCTGATCCTTTGCTGGATAGGTCTGGCAAAGAAGAGGAGTAGTCATTTGAATTTGCTTGCCAGGTGTATGTGAGCATTGCCTAGTTGCTACAAAGAAGGGAGCATGCTCATAGGGAACTAGAAAGAAATGGACTGGTGGAGACATACTGAAAATAAAATATAGAAGTGTCATTGTGTATTGAAGCCAGAATTCTTGAGTTCAAGTCCTTGCTGCATACCAGCTCTAAGAACTTTTTATCTGTAAAGATAATAACCACCAACCTTATAGGGCTTTAAGGATTTAATTAGTCAATAAATGTAAAAGCTCTTAAAACATTGCCTGGTGTATATATATAGTAAGCATTCAATTAGTGTTTTCTGGGTTTTTTTGTTTGTTTTTGAGACAGTCTCGCTCTGTCGCCCAGGCTAGAGTGCAATGGCGTGATCTCAGCTCACTGCAGCCTCCGCCTTCCGGGTTCAAATGATTCTCCTGCCTCAGCCTCCTGAATAGCTGGGATTACAGGCGCCTGCCACCTTGCCCGGCTAATTTTTGTATTTTTAGTAGAGGCAGGGTTTCACCATGTTGGCCAGGTTGGTCTTGAACTCCTGACCTTGTGATCCGCCCACCTCGGCCTCCCAAAGTTCTGGGATTAGAAATGTGAGCCACCATGCCCCACCTTCAATTAGTGTTTTCTGTAGGGGATGCTGTCAAGAAGAAACAAATGGCTGATGTAAATGGAGTCAGAAATTTCACAAATGACTGAGAAGTACTTACCATTTGCCTCTTTTGCAATTGAAAAAGTATTCTTATTTCAAAGCAGTATTTCTCAACTCAGGCTTCTCATGCCCTCCTTGAATCTGATTTGAAATTCATTGCATGTGTGTGCATGCATACACATACATACATATGCATATATACATAAATATGTATATAACTACACAAAAAAAGGTGATGGGATCAAATACTGCTGTATTTTCAAACCTCATATTCCCCCTCCCCCAGTGCCAAGATTTCTAATGACCCCACCCCATTGAGGAATCACTGTTCTAAAGAGTAAAAGGTTAAGAGGCACTTTATAGTGAACCACACATCTCAATTATGTAGCCTAAAAGTTTAGGGAAAAGCAAATTAGCAGCTTCAAAAAAATCTTAATAACAAAAGTTTTTTTTTTGCCACACAGCATTGAAATTGAACATGAATATACTTTTTTTTTTTTTTTTTTTTTTTTTTTGAGACGGAGTCTTGCTCTGTCGCCCAGGCTGGGGCGCAGTGACCGGATCTCGGCTCACTGCAAGCTCCGCCTCCCGGGTTCCCGCCATTCTCCTGCCTCAGCCTCC